AGGACCATATCGAATTCATGAAGTCAAAACTCCTTATTACGAAATTTTAATTAATAATCAAATAAAAAAAATACATGGTAATCGTTTGAAAACTTACTTTTCAGGGCATTCCTCGCGTTAGGGATAATAGTCTTAAGCATAGAGATAATCCCATTGAAAAAACATGGACTGTTTCAAGAAAAAATCAACCAAGCATACTTATATTCAACCGAAATCGATATTTTTATAGGTTTAGACATAAATGAAATTTACGAAAAATTAAACACCTTGAAGAAATATGTAAAGGACATTTCAAAAGCATGTAACAAAAATTGTGACCTTTTAAGTGAAATAGAATCATTAATTGAACGTGTAGACAAATTAGATAATTTAGCTTTTCAATTACAACTAATAATCTATAATAGACATAAACGAGGGTTATTAAATATCATTGGGTCCGTATCTAAAAGTTTATTTGGAACTTTAGATAACGATGATTTAGATCTGATAAATGCTAACATGGATAAATTATTTAATGAAGGAAACCAGCTAAAAACCATCGTTGCAAACCAAACTTTGGGCTAATGACCATGGCAGTCGATGCCCACAACACTAATCATCATCATCATCATCATCAAACCAAACTGCCCTTATCCGGAAAATAGTCAAATCTGATAGTCTAAAACAAATCGAACATCTACATCAAGAAATCAACGAGTTACAATTAAACCGTAGTAAAGAAGAAATTTTAACCAATTTAATTATACGAGCAGAAAGCGCTGTATATGATTTACATTTTCAATTTGACCAGATTATAAATGTTATTATGTTAGGAAAACATGGCATTATTAATTCTCAAATTATTGATCACGATACTTTTATACAAAACTATGGTAAAGCATTAGGGCATAGGATACTTAATACCGCATTAGAACCTAAGATCGAAAACTTTCAATTTATTTTAGATATTGCGATTTTAAAAATATTCACTATCAAAACAAAAGTTTTCTTCAAGATTTCAGTTCCGCTTCTAGCTAACACGGAATGGGATATAATACAAGTATGTCCGATCCCAATCAAACGAGGAAACGCGTTTGTTGCTCCCGTTATTGAACATCCAATTTATTTTGTTTATAGATTATCATATATGAACGTTGACAACGAATATTTAATCAAGTCCTGTAAAGACAAAATGGGAATAACAATCTGTAAACAAACTGAAGCCATTCACGACAGAAGATCTGAACAAGATTGCGCTTCAGATGTTATAAATTTTAGTAATTCAATAGAGACTTGTAAATTTGCGGTTTATAAAATTGATGATGTTACCTTTATACCATTAGGAGCAGAAAATCAATATATAGCAATACTTAGGGAACCGACAGAAGTTACCATAATTTGTGACAATCAACCAAAAGTAGATGTTTTGAAAACTGCCTCTCTTATAAAATCGGATAAGCAATACGATTTAATTTACAATAATAATCATATGAAAATAGGAGAAACCAAAGTAAATGTAACATACGAAACTAAAGTCAAAACAATACCGTTCGGAAACGACACAAATTTGGACGTGCTTCTTGACAAAATCGATAAAACTCCACGAATATTTAGCCAAGTTAACAGCTATCAAGATACAGCAGGCGAAATCAATGATCAGATTAGTCAATTAACGTTTACACATCGTATGACTTCAATAAAGTCATGGGGTTTATCATTTTTACAAATTGCTGGTTACATTTCCTTGGGTTAACTCGTTCAGAATCATGCCACTAATAACGTATTAGAAGGACATTAAAATCGTTCGAAGTTGGTTTCAAAAGTTAACAACAATTTTCGCTAATATCTCGAAAACAAAAGCTTTCCGTCAATTATGCAAGAGTATGCTGAAGTTTACTTAATAAAACGGGAATCTTCGATTGTATTAAGAGATGTTTGCCAAGTAAATTATGTATACATTTATTATCTTGTAAAACTAAAAATAATATTCAAAACTTCACGAATGTAACATCGCGTAAGCCGTCAGCTTCGACCAATTTACACATTGAGTTACCAACCGACTACCCGCCGATTGAAGCTCCAGAACAAGAGGAAAGAAGAATCACCTTTGAATCCACAAATGCCCGATTTCACAAATCAATCCTTAAGAATCGATGAAGAATCTTGGAGGACCAAGATTAATCTAAGGAGGGGGATATGTAACAAACAGCTACATCTAAGAACACGTCATCCATCCATCCATGCGTTACTTAAGTCCCTTACACCCTGAACCTGTAAACACTGCAATAGTCATACGTTGTTAACCATTACTCACTCTTAACCCCTTCACACCTACAAAACCAAAAGACATAAAAGTCCCCCGACCCCTTTTGGACACACAATTTTTACCCGAATTCGGAACGAGTTACTTCAACGTACATATTAATTGTAACAAGTAATAAAGTGCTACAGATAGAAACAAATCGTAATAGTTATCTAAACTCCTTTCTGTCCTCGCGAATTTTACGTGACAACGCAGTTAACGTTTTGCAGGATTGTAATAAGGCTCGGAAGTGCCACGGTTCTATTCCTTTTCGGAACAAAAAGATTAGAATTTACAAAAATTTAATATTAATATTATTTAATATTTTTTAGTCGGACGATAGTAAACAAGTATGGCGGAAAGATAATACTGAATTGGATTTCAAAAACATGCAACCGACACGACGCGACGGTTAGGCGTGACCACGTTACGTTATGATTTCGTACTATAGAGTATGGTATAAACGTGACAGCGTTACGCGTTACATTGTGATTTTATACTATAGAGTATGATTTCAAGTGTACGAATACTTTTACCTGCACTGTATGTCACTCCATTCAGTAACAAAATGTGTTCAAATCACTGTAGGAAAGCAAAAAATGATCATTACCTTGATCATTTTTAGACGATATATTTCAATGTAACGTTGAGTGCATGTTGTATAATGGCTAGTATAAAATACAGAGCAATTATTTCTTTAACATAAAGTGACGCCATATCTCAAGCAGCGTCACCAGTACTAACAGCCGTCGTTTTCTACAAGAGGAATATTTATTACATATTATATGAAAGAAAATTTTTCAATCATGTTACTGCACAGTGCTGTCTGATTCCGTGTCGACGCACGTGATCTACTGTCCAGAGTACGAGAGAAAACTAGCGGGACGGGAACGGGGCTAGAGGGACGAAAAGAGCATCGCAGTGGTCTGATTGTAAAGTTGCTGCCTATTGTCAAACGCTTTTTCGGCAATAAAGCGCTATTTGTCGAGGCACACACATACACTAATCGGTCGCATGACGCGGAGAGTAGGTCAGATATATGTAGAACAAGCGAGACAGAACGAGCGATACGTTGAGCGGCATTCCATTGTCGTAGTGTCCAAAAGTTTTACGCATCGCGTAAGAGGAAAAAGATAGAGTTTTTTAACATACTAGGGGGCGGTGCCTCCGAGAAGCTTCGCACCTATTTAGTGTGAATACGATTCTAAAGTGACATGGTGAGTCGACCTTGGACTGTGGAGTAGAGGGGGTAGCGATCCGCGTTACAGCGTTACGCGTAACAGCGTTACTTTATGATTTTATACTATAGAAAGACTATAGATAGAAGACTTAACTTAAATCCTATGGAACATGTATGGGCGAAACTAGAAAAAAATGTGCCAAAACATGATATAACGTCTCAAGAACACTAGAAAGAAATACTAAAAAAAGAATAGTGTAACATAGAACTTGTCTTCGTTAAAAGTTTTATCAATGCCCGATATATTACGTAAATTGATTCGCCGGAAGGGTTAATTTATAAACTGTCTGCTAAAATAATTGTAGTAATAATTAAGTGTACGAATACTTTTGTGTCGACGATTTTTTACAGTCCTGTGAATTTCAAGTCATTTCAAGTTACTACATGATGTTATTGCCTTCGGTTTTGGGCCATTTTTTGCTGTAAATGTAATGTTTAATATACAACTATATATGATTAAATATAGTTAATAACATAGAAAATATTGCTGTTTTTATTTCTATACTAGGGGGCTGTGCCCCTTGACCGCGCCTATTTTGTGTGAATGCGCTTCCACAGTGACATGGTGGGTGGACCGTGGACTGTGGAATATAGAGGGTAGCATTAGGCGTGACCACGTTACGTCATGATTTCGTACTATAGAGTATGGTATAAACGTGACAGCGTTACGCGTTACATTGCGATTTTGTACTATAGAGTAAGATTTCAAGTGCACGAATACTTTTATTCTCCACTGTATGTCACTCCATTCAGTAACAAAATGTGCTCAGATCACTGTAAGAAAACAAAAAATGATCATTACCTTGATCATTTTTAGACGATATATTTCAATGTAACGTTGAGTGCATGTTGTATAATGGCTAGTATAAAATACAGAGCAATTATTTCTTTAACATAAAGTGACGCCATATCTCAAGCAGCGTCACCAGTACTAACAGCCGTCGTTTTCTACAAGAGGAATATTTATTACATATTATATGAAAGAAAATTTTTCAATCATGTTACTGCACAGTGCTGTCTGATTCCGTGTCGACGCACGTGATCTACTGTCCAGAGTACGAGAGAAAACTAGCGGGACGGGAACGGGGCTAGAGGGACGAAAAGAGCATCGCAGTGGTCTGATTGTAAAGTTGCCGCCTATTGTCACACGCTTTTTCGGCAATAACGCGCTATTTGCCGAGGCGCACACATACACTAATAGGTCGCATGACGCGGAGAGTGGGTCAGATATATGTAGAACAAGCGAGACAGAACGAGCGATACGTTGAGCGGCATTCCATTGTCGTAGTGTCCAAAAGTATTACGCGTCGCGTAAGAGGAAAAAGATAGAGTTTTTTAACATACTAGGGGGCGGTGCCCCCGCTCGAGGCGCTTCGCGCCTATTTCGTGTGAATACGCTTCTAAAGTGACATGGTGAGTCGACCTTGGACTGTGGAGTAGTAACGCGTAACACCGTTACCTTATGATTTTATACTATAGAAGATATAGATAGAAGAATAGAAGATAGAAATATATAAATAGAAGAAGAGTAAGATAGTAGCAATATCCGTTTCTATACCTATGTAAAACCACACCATTACGAATAAACGGTGCGAGTTATGCGTGAGTCGAAAAGTGGGGATTAGGTGGTCCTAGCGGCCTACCCTCTTTGCCCCGTTCCCGTCCCGCTAGTTTTCTCTCGTACTCTGGACAGTACGTCATGTGATCTTTTGTTAAAACGACGATTGGGGAGGAACTTTTATATCAGAAGTTGAGAAAAGAACTATCTCAGAATGTCTGCAAATGGATTTGCGTGCTGTAATAATAGGAAGGGAAACTACGTGTCTTGAATCTACATACACCCGAATATCGCTCGTTTTTATATTTTATTGATGGTAATTCCTGCCATACGGTAGTGATTGTTCGTTGTACCTCAAAAAATTTGGGTGTTTCTGTTGTACGAGTCTGTTAAATAGATAGTGTAAGTAGAATTTGTCCATAGATTCGTTGAAATTCTAATTATTTGCTAGGTTTTTTTTATCATCACGCCAAGTTTATATAGAAAACTTTTCTTTTAGCTTCAATTTTATTTTCTCCTTCTGGTCGTATGTTCTTTCTGCCCGAGTTATTGCATTTTATCCAATCAATTATTGTTCAAATTTTAACAAGTCATATCAGGCAAATGGATCATCGTACAGAAATGAGGAAAAAAGCATTTTGAAAGTCAAAAATCAACAATTTCAGACTGTCCGATCTCAATATACAAGGTGCGATCATTAAGTTCCGGGATTGTGTCTGCTATGACCAAACGGATCACACGATTGACTTGCGCTCGCAGGACATATGAATATCAATCTTCGAGACATATGACACGAAGTTTGGAAGCGATATCTTCATTGAATCCTGTGTTATACAAATTTATGTTAGCATACGCGCGCTCTCCTTTGTGAAATTACGATGGACTCTAAATTGAAACAAAGGGACAAAAAAAAAAGTGGAACATGGTCGTCCTTCCTCACCCTCCATATTCACCATATTTGGAACCCTGTGATTTCTTTTTGTTTCTCAAAATCAAATTAAAGCTCAGGAGGCGCCGATTTGACACGGTGGACGAGATTCAATGCGAATCGCAGCAGGTGCTTAACACACTTCGACAAGAAGACTTCTAGGAAGCTTTCCAAAAATGGCAGAGGCGCTGGAATCGGTGCATAGCTGCCCAAGGGGTGTACTTTGAAGGGGATAGTAGCCAAATTTGAAACAGGTGACTTTATCTGCATATACGGAACCAATCCCGGAACTTAATGATCGCACCTCGTATATACAATGAATCAAAATTTATTGTCACGTTCTGCTTAGTCCTATTCTTCAATCTTCAATCATATTATTATCATATTATGAGATTATTTAAAAGAAACAAGTAATTATAGTAGTATCATATGCAGCTGCGTTTGTATATTCAAAACTAGTAAACCTGAAACCTTTATGAATAGATGTTTTATTCCACCTTAGAATAGACTCTAAATTTTGTAAAACAGAACTATCTTCTGAATTAAATTCATAAAAAATTTTTGTTATCTTTTAACATTGGTATATAAAATTTTGATATACATATATACGGCACGCTCTGAATGTTACTAAAAAACATTCCTGGCATTAGAGGTCAAATATTGAATAAAAATCAGTTCATGGAAAGATTGAGAAATTTAATAGTATAATAAATAGTTAGTAAGAAATAAAATCATTCGAGTTTTCAACATTTTAATACCATTTATTTAACGTTAACGTTATTAAGAATAAGAAATGTTCTTTAATACCATTCCCTCTTAACTAGTCGATTGATCTAAAGTGATGTTGATGATCCTACAATGTTTAGACAGAACACATCTTAACACGTTAGTTACTACATCAGTGCCCAATGACTGACAATGAACTTTCCGTACAAGCCGCATCAGTCATTGGTGATTGACAATATAAAATATGACATGAAACTAAAAAATTACACTTTTGTAAATCATAAATAATTCCCGGATCTTATTATTAGTGTATTGGAATATTACTTACAAGATAACTTTAATGGATTTTTTTGAAGCAGTTTAAGCAAAAAGAATAAGCAATACGCCCTTATTAATAGCGCGTAGCCTGGCCGGGATTTCTTCATAAGTACGCGAGGCAGCTAGCATGCTGAAATACGAAGATAAAGACAATATGTCCGAACGATAAAAGTATTATATTTAAACATACATTGCGAATAAAACAGAACTTGTTAGTCCTGAGTAATGATATTATTTATAATTATAGCAATTTCAACTATTTAGAGATCTGAAGTAAATGTTTTAACGTTATTATATAATTGGAATACAGCAATGAAGATATTGGGTATAAAGTTTGCACCGTTGAATGTGCCGCTAAAACGGAGACTGGAAACGCTATCAGTCACGCTATGGTACTTTACACTGGCTTTTGGACCATCGCTTGGTTTTATTATTACTGGCTATCTCCTCTTTTTTACCACGACTATACGTTACTACGTTTTGCTGTATTTTCTGTGGATGTACTATGACTGGGACACGTGCAACAAGGGCGGTAGGAGGTAAGAGCTCTTATTTTCTCTATCTATTCTGTCTTTAATTTCCTAGGTTACGTTAGTACTAAACATAATATTAAATATTATATTTTGGAGAAATGCTATGCACTTGTGGTAAGTGTATATATGCTATCGACTAGACAGTTTAACCTGTCTATAGAATATTGTCGTAGATATAATCAATCCAACTGTACGTCATCCAATAACGAATAATAACGTAAAAGGTGAAACTATTGTAATAAATGTGATTTTGATACTATTATTACTATATCATTGTAATAGCGACTAAAGAATGTTAAAGAATACTTTAAATCTAATTCATTTGATTGAATATTTACCACTTGTGAACAAAATTTTCATATAATTCGTTCTTAATCTCAAGAAATAACTCGAAACATTTTATCAGAAATCAATGAAAGCTCTTTGTCTTAATTTCAGTACGAAATTGACGAATATGGTGGCAAAATCCCGATGGATCCAGCACGTTTTCGATTTTTTTCCCGTGACGTTGGTTAAAACCACCGATTTAGACCCGAATAGAAATTACCTACTCTGCAGTTTCCCTCACGGGATAATACCTGCAGGAGCAGCGGGTTCTTTTCAGTCTGAAAGTCGAGGTGCTAAGACATTGTTTCCCGGTTTGCAACTTAACATTATCGTGCAGTATCAAGTGTTCAAGAGTCCCATCTTTCGCGAGATCGCTCTCGCCATGGGTGCGTGCTGTCATAAATAATTACAAATTATTTGTTTGCAAATATTGTTGACTTGTTCTGTTGAACGTTTCCATAATCAACTGAATTTTTCATGTAACAAAATAGACGCAATCATTGAGAAATTATAAGATTGTTAATGAAGTTAATACAGTATATCACATCCCAGTTGTATTTGCTACCTTGCGATTGAAAATCTTATTTGCGTGCTATAAGAAATTAAATTTTACACGTTGCTTTTTTTGAACGACAATTAGTGTTTTATTGTTCGATTTTTAATAACAGTGTATCATCAAATTATTGCAGCCACAGAACAAGAAATATGGAATACGGAATTTAAAGTAATAAGTCAGATTTCTTAATCGTCTACACTGTTGCTAACCTGTATATTTGTAACTTGCAAACACATACAGTGGAGTACAAAAGTATTCGTACACTTGAAATATAGAAATAAAAAGAGCAATATTTTCTATGTTATTAAGTATATTTAATCATACATAGCTGTATATTAATCATTACACTTACAGCGACAAATGACCCCAAACCGACGACAGTAACTCATGTATTCGTACATTCAATTATTGCTACAATTATTTTAGCAGAAAATTTATAAATTAATATTTTGTATGATAACCCTTCCGGCGAATCGCTTCAGGTAATATATCGAGCATTGACAACAGCAAACTTTTAACGAAGACAGGTTCTATATTACACTATTCTCTTTTTAACATTTCTTTCTAGTGTTCTTTTGACGTTATATCACGTTTTCGCACATTTTTTCTATTTTCGCCTATACATGTTCGATAGGATTTAAGTTAAGCAGTCGTGGAAGAGTTGCTAACCTGTGGGGACTATTGGTATTAACAACCACTGACGCACTAATATATAGGGTGTATCTTTCGCGTCACAGTCTTGCTAAAAATAAAATTCTTTTAAAGTATTTAAACATAAATGTTTATCCATTATTTTATCAATTATTACTAAATTGTCGCCTCCAGAAGCAGCAATACATTACATTTCCACCTCCGTGTTTCGTCGTCGGTTGCATATTTTTGAAATCCAATTCACTATTAATTTTTCGCCATACTTTTTTACTATCGTTCGACTCAAAAATATTCAATTTTAACTCTTCGGAAAATACAACGTATATAGTACTTCTTTTTCCAGAAGTCGTCTCTAGCAATTATGTATTGTTCCGCAAATTCTAATCACTTTTTTTGTTTACTTGCTTATGAGTGGTTTCTTCCTCGCAACTTTACTGTTATATCCGGCCCGATATTGATCACTTTTCGTTCTGTTTTAGAGTGAATTTCCTTCAGCACATATTCTTTAAGGTGTAATGTAATTTCAAATGCATTGGTATCTGGTTTTTCTTTAACAGTTCGGACGATTTCACATTTTCCTCTCGTAGTTAATGTCACGTGGTTCGAACACAATTTTTAGCGAGAATCCGTACGCGAAACTAAGTCCGTAGACAGGAGATTCAGTCAGAGGTTTTACGTATTTAAACTTTTACTTTTGAATGAACCTTTATTCGTAGCCCACGGGCCCTTATATATGGATAGGAGTTTTGTAGAGGGGACTTATCGGTTTCGGGGGTTTGCTTATGACTGACTATTGACAATGTTACTTGAAAGTAGTGACCGATGACTAATGGTTGTTGACGTGATGATACTATTGGTGATTCAGGGTGTGACAAAGTTCGGGGTGACTTCATATTTCAATGAGTGCGTCACATTAATTTTCGGGGTCTACCGGCTCTTCTTTTATTCCGCAATATTCCTTCTTTTTTATACTTGTTTATAATACTTTGTACGGTCGATCGACTTTTTTTTAGTATTTCTGATATATTCATATATGTAGGAGTAGAATTTTAATTATCTATCTCTCTTTATTTGAATAGGACGATGAGTACAATACGAATAATACAGTTAAACACTCACGCGCACAATAATCTTCAAACACGCACACCAAAAACACACTAGTTCCAGATCGTGTACCGGAATCGTCAGACGTAATCGTCAGTCGTAATCGTTAGCCGTAATCGTTAGTCGTAATCGTTAGGCGTATTCGTAATAAGCGTAAGGATCGTAAAAGAATCGTTATAATCGTGGTTAGCGTAGAATCGTGTTAAACGTTCGAGGTTTCGTTACAATATGCCCCGCTCGGTCGTGACCGCGTCCTTTTATTATCATGCCGGTTAACCGTTCTCGAAGTTATTTTTCGAATTTGTCGGTTTGATCCGACGGTTGGAAACGTCCACCGATCGCTGCTCACTTTTGTCATTTTTACAACATGCACACACTTACGCAAGGTCGACGCGTTCTAACATATATTGGTAACGGTTTTGACCGATCAACTGTTATCCGCTTGGTGTTTTTTGTCGCTTTTTTCCTTGTTACTATGTCGCAGTACATATTATCAGTAACGGTTACTGTTTAACTCCTACATATATGATTTACCTTCTTCATGTAACCATATAACAACTTTTCTTTCTTCCAATGTTGTCTCTTTGCGTTTTCTCCCCTTATTGCAAATATTAGCGCTAAAGTGTACTCACCACGATTACTACTGACTACACTAACATAACATCATCTAATGTAATAGTTACATTGATCAGAATGTCCTGATGCCATTGCAACTGTTGTATTTATCACCATAAATGATAATGTACGAACACTTTCCTCCTTCACTGTATATTTCAGGAAAATAATACGAAGAAATTTATCTAATATCGCTTTTGTTCGAAAACTAATCGCTTAAATTAAATATCGTGATTTTGCGTAACTCTCATGATATCATCACATGTATTGTATATCTTGCTAGGATATATTTGGGAAACGTACACTATCCTTCACAACCCTCCAATTGACAAACCGTAAAAGGTACAAGAAAAAACCGATTTACGTGAAATCTACTGACATTTATTAAACACATTTAAGGGTTAAAAAAATAATCGGTAGTGTATGTTTATATGTGTAACACATTTATTTATTCATAATAAAGTTATAATTAACTCACTGAATTTTAATTATAGATATTCGTTAAATTCTGCAAATATATTTTAATTTCATTATATTATAGGTTTCATCAGCAGCAGTGAAGAAAGCCTAGACTATCAGTTGTCGACGAAACCTAAAACGCCATTCACTGGAAGAATATCTGTTCTCATCGTCGGTGGAGCAGGGGAAGCAATGGAATGTTCGCCAGGAACAAATCGTGTTCTCGTAAACCAAAGAAAAGGATTTGTGAGAGTGGCACTGAAACATGGGTTAGATTATTTGCGGTCTCTTTTAATTAAGTGGAACAATTAAATTCTAAATAGTTTTCATAAGTAATCCATCACTGACTTTAAAATAATATTTGCAATAACCTTGACGAAATAGCAAATATCTTTATATGGTTGAGATATAAATACCATTTTTTAGGAAATAACTTTTAATGCAGAACTACGATATTTATGCAAAGGCCAGTATCAATTAACCTCTTAGGCACGGCTAAATTTTACACTGAAATTATAAACGATACAGCACTACAATGTGACTACAATCTTATAATTTTGGATATACTACCGATTGACTTCCATGGAATTCAGCGCTGAAATTTTTGTTGCGTATGCTACTTTCCTTGGGCATTCCATATCCTTTGTAAAAATCAACGTGTTTCTAATGGTTTGCTAGCTATTCGTATTTCAATGCATGAGTTGCTTCTATTATTGTTCATTGAATCATTAATGCAAAAACGAAATACACATATCAAAACATGACCTAACATAACCTAACGCCATTAATACGTTGAGAGCGATGCTGACTTTATTATGCATTGCACTGGGCGATATTTAGGATGAGGAGAATAAACAGACGACTACTTTGTTTTACCTTATTATATTTCTTTTGAACTGGGAGAATGATGCCGTTACAAGTAAAACTGTTTACAGACTTCAAAGGAAAGAAGGAAAGGATTATATTAATATTAGAATGAATTTGAAGTGTGAACATCTGGTTAACCATAAGAGATCCGTTGATTTTGACATCGAATATGGAATACTCATGGAAACTTGTGTATGTAACCAAAGTTTCAACACTAAACTCGATGGGGGACATTTGGAAGTACAGCCATAATTTTTCCCAAAAACATGAAACATATATTTTAACTTTGATAACACGTTCCTTTAGAAATTCCACAAAATATGTCAATATTTCCAAATATTTCTACTTTTTTTATATGCAATCTACATATCTGAGATTCGTTAATACTCTTACAAAACATTGGGCAGGCAAAAAAGTATAAGTCAAAACATATAAATATGATTATACGATCCATGTAGGGTGGCGTGCCTAAGACGTTAATATGCTTAAAATTCGTCGGAAGTAACGTAACAGAAATAATCTTAAAATAAATGTTACCGCTCTATCTGATCGATGAAGATGCTCGTGAATGAAACTATTCATATAATACTCATCAATGAACGACAATGAGCTTTTCCTTTTGGTAAGTTTAGGACACCATTGATACCGTCCTTTTCGTTCAGAGAAACGGATACATACGACCAGGTGAAAAATCCCTATTTATCGTTGGTTCAGCACTATTTTCGCAAAAACGTGGGACTCGTACCTCTGATTCTAAAGGGGCGTGGATTTTTCCAGTATTCTTATGGTTTTGTTCCGCATCGGGTGCCTATAACTACCGTTGGTAAATATCGCTTAATCATTTTGAACAGATTAAGTATTATATTTACGTGCATACTAATATTCATGAAATTTTGTGCCTTTCATTTGAGGAAACCAATTGGACTTGTTAGCCAATTTAAACTACTCTGAAAAGAAAACTACTCCGAGAGTAATGTTTATTATCTACTTTTCATTTCAAAACTCAACACAAATAATGACTTCATTTATGAAACGCTAAGAACAGAAATGATCTCTTGTAGAAGATTTTTACAAGTCTCGTTCTCCATTTTGCAGTTGGCAGTCCAATAGAGATACCAAAAATATCACATCCGACAAAGGAACAGATCAACGAATACCACAAACTGTTCGTCGAAAAACTAACAGAGTTATTTGAAACCCACAAGTATAAATACCTACCTGACGCAGATTCAAAACATCTTGAGTTCGTATAGTAACAACTATCTGCTGTAAAAATTACGTTCTAATAATATTTCAGTACATATTCCCGATATAAATAAAATCAGGCAGCGAACAATTGTAGTTAGTTCTTTAGCGGCCGACAACAGTGAATTATGTACTTAAATAAATATTCTTAGTGTAAACAAATTAGTTCTTTTTATTCATACCAACGGACCCTGACCTGCTACAACTTTAAAAGTGAGATCTGAATATAATAGATGGATGGGTATCTAGTGGAAAGTTGGATCCGAGACATTGAAGGAAATATTTGGTTGGTTAGATTTATAAAAGTTCCTAATCGTGCAAAATTGTTTAACGACTCTGACTAAATTATTCGTATAGAGCGAATAAACCATTATGACCTAAAAGAAGCTGAAATCTCTCATCATAAATGAATTTTCGTTGAATATAAACAGTGCGCAGAAGAATTTCAAACAGGAGAATTTCAAAATTTTTCGGTTTGGGAATGTAGGGATTTGGGGATTTTGGAAAAAAAATGGTTTATTTCCTTTTTTGCTTCCATTTTCCGACAAGCCAGACGTGGCCTAAGAGAAAATTTCATTTTAAAATCGAAAGGTTCGACGAGCATTTTTCTAATTGGACAATCAGCTGGTGACCACTCGATCGGTTTGCGCTTTTCCCAGCTTTGACAACGCGACGCCGATTTTCTTGCTACAATTTGCACAAGTTTTTCGATCGTCATCCCCGCGCCCTAATTGGTCCTTGTTTTTGCTTAATAATTCAAAAACGAAGCTTCTATTTTTGCAAAGGGAAATCTTATTCAAAATTACGTCCTCTACCACTCCTTTCCAGGAGTTACACGAGTTGTGAAACATCCTATATATAAACGACGACATAAATATTAACGATACAGAAAATATGTGGTACGAACACGATGGAGCTCCTCCACATTACGCAAAAGAAACTAGGGATTGACTAAACAAAATATTTAAACAATATTTTATATTGTTAATCATATGTTATGCATTAATAACAAAAAAATTTTGCTTACGCCAAAACATAGAGCCCCTTTTACCCTGCAATTTCCATATGAACACTTCGTCGTGTCATCAATAGTTCATGGAATATCGCGTTGTCATACTTACAATTAGGCGTGGACATCCTGTATGCTAACGTATGGATGTTTAATAGTCTTTGAAGTATATTCAGTGCACTGAATATTTATTTCAAACTCTGCACTCTTAATAAATACAAACTACATTTACAAGTATTTAAAGTTCTTTTCACAGACAGATTACAAAACATTCTCAGCACGTAACAGTTTTAGAAAAACGATGAATGCATTTAACACCGGAAAATGTCTATGGAAAAAGTAACATTTTTATTGCCTGCATTGAAAAGCGAATGGATTATTGCAGCAAAATGTACACTATATATGTTACTAAAAAACATGGTTGACGTTCGAGACCTAAAACATTGAATAAAAATCAGTTCATGGGAAGATACACTAATTTTATAGTACGATAAGAAATTATTAGAAATGAAGTCATTTCATTTTTCAGCTTTTTAATACTATTCATCTAACATTAATGTTATAAGGAAGAAGAAGTTTTCTTTTTATTAACATTCTTGTGTGACTATCTTCTTCTGCAGTTAGTGAAGCGCAGTTGTCGTCCGTCTGTAGGTAAGTCTCAAAATCTTTGAGGTCGATATGCCATTTTGACAAAATCTATGCAACAAATCGACCCCGGCGAAGAACCTGGTAACTATGACCTTTTTATCTGTGGACTTTTATATACCTCGTCCAGTATCAAGCTCAGGAACGCCAAAATTAGATAAATTATATTTAAGTGATGCTACCAACTCTAAAGTGCTTATTCACGAAATTGCCTGTTCACAAAATAGTTGAAATACGTAAGCAATAACGATTCTAATGGAAAGCTTCAAAAATCTGGAACGACAGTAATAATTTGAAATAGGTGGGAAATCTCAAATAGCTTTACAATTGCTATTAAAGAATATTGCTTTATACAAAGATGTGTGACCGATAGTTTTCCTAATATAACCAATACTATTTTGGACATAGCTCACTTTTTTTTATTTATTTTGTGTCATACTATACTGCACGAACCAAACATGCAATATTTACTTTTGTCAGCGAAAATAACATCCTTCTATCGAACTCCAGACTTTTTAAACAACTTTTTCTCGAAAATCAGTTTTCTTTCTCAATTTATGTCACTAATTTGTGGTTTTCTTCTTGTTATTCGATCATTATACTCATAGTTTTTCATTATTCCACGGATAGTATTAGTACTGATTTTTTTTTCACTTTTATAATAAACCTCTGAAACTGTACATCATTACAATTCGGATCGTTTTAATTCTTCGTGTCAATTGTCTTTCTTTTCTTTCATTCAAAATTCGAGGTGGTTCCTCTGTCTCTTAAATTCAATACGATTTTCTTCCTTAAATGTTTTAATGTATGCTATTCTACTCTTCTTCATTTCTGATTATGCTATTTCACAGCATGTTGCACTTTTCTCTCTGTTGTAAATTACAAGTTATCTTTTATCAAAATTGTTATTTATCAAAACTGGTATTCTTCTATTTTCCATGTGTAACGTCCCTGGGGAAACCTTTTTTCTTTCTACCGGCATCATCGCGACAATCTTCTATCCATCGATTAGAATAGTCAATTATCGACCGTAGTTGCCAATTATCGACAGTACATTAGGTATCTATTACCATATCTACCAAATTCGACAGTCGGTAATTATAATATATATATATATTATCATTTATATTAATTATCTTATAATTTTGATTTAGAATAGGTAATATTTTCATACCAATAATTGAATATTAAGTTGGAATGATTAAAACCAAATTATGTATTATTTTATTTTTAATTCTAATAAATGTGTAATTTAGTATGGAAATTTCCGTGACGCTATGATGTGCCTACGTGCCGCGATACACGTCCGAAATCCTTGAGATCAGCGCTAATCCTAGAAAGGGATGGAGCTACTATTTCTATTTACGGCATTATTTACCATTAAATTAATTAATTAACTAAATCAATTTATATACGTAAAATCAACCAGTAATAAACTATTCTTGGCCGGAACCACATTTATTTCCTTCAATTAAAAAGCTGTAAATCGGAATAGATTCGGCTCTCGTAGAATTCGTGCGCAGTTCATTAGAAAAGGACAGAAAATATATTTTTCGCTAAAACACCGTTATAGTGTTATTTTAATATCGAACTGTTAGCCCGAAATTAAAGAGCGACATTTAAAATATAATTAATCTGTTAAATTTTATAATTAATGTATAATAACGAATTTATATGAAAATTTAGATATTCTGACGTCACAGAAATTCCAGGAATTCGGCGAACCTGCGAGTATAAAAGGGCGAGCGAAACCCGTCTAAAAGCAGAACAATTTTCGAAGTCGAACGCGATAGAAGTCTCCTTGATTAGTATAACCGGAACAGTTTTCGCTGTCAAAGAGCCAAAAAGATTCTTAATACTTGACTGGTCAAGCGGGTATTTGCCATTCGGTTACTTGGTCGCTGGGTTGTTTTAGCAGCTGGTGAACAACAGGCTCCCCGTTCAAGCGATTTTGTGACTGAAATTCCATAAAGAGAGTGCTATGCTTAGCGCCAAGAAAGGCTAAGACATCGAACGAAAGCTCTCAGCTACTCGTATTTGATTTTTGTCGAATTGCTAGCGCGGCTTCAGTTTCTCGGAGCTCGCTCTGAGCTACTCCCCCTCATCGAGCGGTTTGGTCACTGAAACCCGTGGAGCTACTATTTCTATTTACGGCATTATTTACCATTAAATTAATTAATTAACTAAATCAATTTATATACGTAAAATCAACCAGTAATAAACTATTCTTGGCCGGAACCACATTTATTTCCTTCAATTAAAAAGCTGTAAATCGGAATAGATTCGGCTCTCGTAGAATTCGTGCGCAGTTCATTAGAAAAGGACAGAAAATATATTTTTCGCTAAAACACCGTTATAGTGTTATTTTAATATCGAACTGTTAGCCCGAAATTAAAGAGCGACATTTAAAATATAATTAATCTGTTAAATTTTATAATTAATGTATAATAACGAATTTATATGAAAATTTAGATATTCTGACGTCACAGAAATTCCAGGAATTCGGCGAACCTGCGAGTATAAAAGGGCGAGCGAAACCCGTCTAAAAGCAGAACAATTTTCGAAGTCGAACGCGATAGAAGTCTCCTTGATTAGTATAACCGGAACAGTTTTCGCTGTCAAAGAGCCAAAAAGATTCTTAATACTTGACTGGTCAAGCGGGTATTTGCCATTCGGTTACTTGGTCGCTGGGTTGTTTTAGCAGCTGGTGAACAACAGGCTCCCCGTTCAAGCGATTTTGTGACTGAAATTCCATAAAGAGAGTGCTATGCTTAGCGCCAAGAAAGGCTAAGACATCGAACGAAAGCTCTCAGCTACTCATATTT